GCTTTAGATTTCTTTTTTTTTTTTTTTAATTCTAGTGGCAGCCACATGAACGCACCACCATATTCCTGTATTTTTTTAAAATAACGTTGGAACTGTCATCAAAGTAGAGCACGGAGATCGCATTCAGTTTTGTTGGTGCACAGCATGGCTTTGGTACATGATCAGGGAACATCAAGTGAACCTGAAAGACAGATAAATACATAGCTCACGTATCAAACAGAGAGGTACAAGGGCAACGTCAGCGCAAAACATGTCTTTGCAATTCAGAGAGTGCTGTGGTCACAGATTTTCCTTGGTTAGCAACTTTAAAGCACAGCTTACCTCCAGAACAGCGCTCTGATTTCAATCGCATGGGCAGAGTTAGACAATAGCAGATGGAGAGATAAACAAGGAGGAGCGGCCAAGACACAAAGTTGGGTTTCACATGAGATTTAGGAAAGGGCTGGAGTTAGGCAGCTGCTCAGGAAAACGTTTAAACATATTGTGGGTGCCATCTCTGCTGAGGACATGAAGCGCAGGCTCAAGTCCCAGCTCTCACTGGGACCTCCGGGAGCGCTAAAATGCTTTCCTGTGGCAGAGTCTCATCGTGGAGAGAAGCCCGAGAGAGGGCAAATGCTCAGATTGAAACTGTTTTCAGCCTCTGAAAAGGTAAGATGTGGGTTCTCATCATCAGTGCAGTTTAAGGTCTTATCTGGCTATCTCTGGATCCAATTCTAACTTCTGCCGAAGTCAAAACCAATTCATACTGGGCAAAAGGTTTGGGGAAAGGGCTGAGGGGGAGAGGCATTACGTACACTGGGCTGAAAAATATCCATGAAAGGTTAAAGATAAGGAAAAGAGGTTTGAACAGCATCCCAGAACCAACAAGATCTGGTGGAAATATCTGAAAATGGGGGAAATACAAGTTCTTTGTACTTGAAAGAGGGTTGGATGTAATATTCTACATATGCTGTAGACTTGGAAACTGGGGAGGCCAGAAAAGAGGGAGTTGTAATAGAGAGGGCAAGAGATTATTAAGGCATGGATGAAGACTTCAGCAGTAATAGGTTTCATTTGTATGTTAAGTCTTTGTAAATCTGTTAGAGCCATCTGTCTTGCAGTGATATAAGCGCAGAGCCTTTGCCAGACAACAGAGAACAGTCTATCAGGAAACGATTTTTACATAACTGTTACCATGAGAAGGTCTTTTGAAATGAGCAATAATAAATCCTGAAGTAGCAGTTTAGTAAGGGTTTAGACACACATTTAAAAACAGTTTAACAAATGAATAGCAAAGCGCTGGAGAAAAGAATGATTGTGCCTCGTCTAGGCAGCTGTTTGCCCTGCTATGACTCCTGGTCCTACCAGGCCTGCCACCCCAGCTGGGAGCTTCATGGCCCTGCTAGCCCTGCATGACGGCGATGCTCACAGCCTTGTCAAGAGTGAGCCTGAAAGTCAGGGTTCATCTACCATGCACGGACCTGCATGCCCATGAGGTCAATTCTACTCCAGTGCCTTTGCAGAGGGTGGTGGGAATCAAGACAGGAGAAGAAAGCTTATAAAATTCATTAAATGCAGTCTGTCTTGTATTTATATGTATCTGTATCATCTGTCTGACTAAGTTCAGTCTCACAAAAAAGAATGAGAGAGAGGTACTGGCCCAGCATTTCTCCTATTCTTGTTACAAAAGAAAAAAAAATGAGTCAGTAAAGTTTGGAGGGGTACCAAGGAACAATCACTTCCCAACACAAAGAGTGGGCTTTTTTAGAATGGTGTAATCAGTATGGCTGGGAGATGATTACATTTGGATTAGGGTGGGGTGTATGAATAATTGTTTCCCAAGCCATCCCCATGTGCACACCTTGTGTAAATCTGAATTTTGTATAATTTAAACCAGAAAGCATTCAACTACTGTTATCTCATCTAATTTATGTGCAGTTAAAATTTAATTAGCCTCATCATTTTTTGGCTGCACAGCTGAATGCATGTACAGTACATGCAGAGGGAGACACACAATTCCAAAAAGGCCATAAAAAGGAGGGAAAATTTAAGTATCCAATTTAAAAAATAGGACAAACTACACAAATTTCTTAACAATGGGAAATTAACCATTTTTGGAAAGGATAGACACATAAGAGAAAGTAGCACTGGGCCACTTCTTATTTAACAGTCCATAATTACACAGGGAACTCTAACCTGGGGATCTCACTGATATTGGCAACTTTTCTGGACAATGTTTGCATAATGCTAAACTATTGCTTTGCTGACCTATTTCTTTTCAGCTGAGCACTGCATCTGTGCTGTTCTTCATCGTCTCCTAGGCACATGAATATATTCCTTGCCAACTAGCATTTGCTGTTCCCCTTCACCTGAACCCCTTACCTCAATTCTTCTGTTTATTTCCAGTCTCTGACTTTTTCCCTTCTTTTTGTGAATCTTGCTGACTTGAATTCTGGTATAGAGGAATAACGTTGCATTGGTGGCTGGACTTGTAGTAGGTGCAGAAATGAAAAGTCGAATGGAAAGGAAAAGGTCTCAGCACATGCTGAGGTTTTAAAAATGTCACTCTCATGTAGAAATACTTGGCAGTTTTCACAAGCAGATTTTGTTTTCTGTCAGGAAGAAACCAAACTTTCTTTGTCTGTTTGAATTTTTTCCCCCTTTTCTTTCTATTTGGGGGTGGGAGTTGTTTGTTTTGTTTTTTTTCCTAGGAGGGTAATAACTGTACTCATTTCTGAAGGAGAAGGTTTTTCAGGCCTGGGGTTTTTATGGCAAAATCAAAGAAAAAGATCACCATCCATGGACAGACTCATCAGAGTAGTCTGGTGGTCAGGATACTTTCCTGTCATCAGTTTACATCAGAGAGAGCCTTAAAGCCATGTTTCTTTAATTGCAGTTGAGTGCCTTGACCTTTCCAGAAACTAATTAGAGATGGCAGCCCTTTCCTGTTCTAATTTTGCACTCCCACTCCCTCCTCATGTATTATCTCTCATTCCTCTGCTTCTTCATCATTCTGCTAATACTGATGCTGTTCAGAGCCAGTTCTTCAGCTGGCACAGGTGAAAAATCATGACCAGGCACTGGACTCACAGCATTACGTTCAGACATAGTCTAAAAGTCTTGATTTCTTTAGGTGTTGTGTTTTCTGACCCATAGCTGAATGCTGCTGGGATAGAGGAGGCCTAGCCAGCTGCTTCAACTAAGATCATCTTTTATGGTTGCCCCAGCTGATGCACAGGACTCACATAAGAACTAGCAGAGGCAGAAAGCTGGCTGCAAATCCCCTTTTACATGTACTAGGCAGAGCAGCAGATCCAAAGACACTTATTTATAAATTGCATTTGTTAGCCAGGCATGACTGAACACAATTTCTTAAATGAAAATGCATCTGCTTGCAAAGCTTCACGTTAAATTACGGTTTAAGTATCTCTGCCAATAGTTGACAACAGAGGTCCACAGAGTGGCCAAGTGTCAATGTTTCTGGAAGGTATAGCATGTAGATGTTAACATGGAGCTTCAATAAGCTGCAAAAAAAACTCTTGGAAGTGGGACCAGGGGCCCCTTTGGTTCTTGTCTACACAATTCTCCAGTAATATGACATAGTCTTCTCATGTGTTACTGCATTTGAAATGGAAGCGAAACCTACCGCACAGGCCACTCTGGACAGTTCATCCTCTTTCCAGCGTAATCATCAAAGCACGTCTTTGAAATGGGTGATCTTTTACACAGAAACAATCAAAACCCAATAGTAGCAAAGAGAGAAGGGCACAGCCCCTGTCCCGAGACACTTCAAACTGCAAAATATGCAACTACAACATAGGCAGAGGCATACCAGAGTCTGAACAATGGCGTGGTTTGTCGCGTTCATGTGGGCATTGAGGGGGAAAGAACACTCTCCGTCGCAGTAAAAGGCAGCGTAGCCCTCCGGTGCAATGATCCAGTCCTAAACCAAGAAGAAATAAATGCACTCAATCTTTTCGTGTTTTTTTTTTTTTCTCTCACTCGGAGAATTTAAGACCATATCAAACTAACTAAGACTTATCCAAGGACAAAATGAACTTCAGAATGTGGCATGTTGAATTACTTTTTTGCCAAAAAAAAAAAAAGGAAGTATTTGCTTTGTTTATGCACAACTCAGATGAAAATTAAATTAAACTTAGAAATCTGTACTGAATACAAACTTATGGGGCTGTAAGGGGAATTAGGTCCAACTAAGTTTGTTAGAATACTTTGCTTCCCAGGCTGAAAATCCTGAGCACTTCTTGGTGCAAAAAAAAGTAATTAAAATGCATCTTCTTGCTTCAGCATGCTAAACGCCATTAATTGCGTTATTGCATGAGGCTGAGGGTTGTTGGAGACAACAACAATTGGAATGTCACTGAATCATTCATTTTGGGTATTTCTAGCAACACAGCATGGGGAAAAAACCACAAGAGGGAAAATATTTTAAAATGTTAATGAAAGCTATGTGTTTAGTCTGCTGAACACCACCATTGCCAGGCAAAGGTAATGGAGGTGCTGTGGGAAGGGCAGAAAGGACCAAGTATTCAGTTCTTGGGTTTTGTTTCTTTTTACCTCATTTCACTTTGACTTTCACCAATCAAATATTGTACAGTGTAGCTTTGACTTTCCAACTCAAACCTTGAAGTCTTCAGAGTGTTTTTTTATGAAAAAAAATAGATTTTCTTTTCTCTGTGACCACCTTGAGTGACTGATCTGAGACTCTTGCACATCTTGGGGCATATCAGAATTTACTGTTTCAAAAAATGAAAAAACTGCTGATACCTGGAAAAATCTGTGATCTACAGAGAGACAACAGCTCACTTGTTCAGTAGCCTGAGTTCAAGTCAATACCACAAGCCTGCTCTGTGGCTGGGGATAGGGCGATTATGCTCTGCGGACTTGGGAAAACAGTCTCTGCCAACTTCTTCAACTGCTGTGAGGATAAACATACTACAAAAAGTCAGGCAGAGTAGTGAGGTCGTATGAGAATCTGAGCTAGATGTGTAAAGGATGAGCTGTCACTAAAGAGACAGCACACTTTTTTCTCCTTGTAGACTTGTTCTGCTCATAGAATTGTTTTAAAATAATTCAGAAGATTCTGAAATGCACAGACGGCCGTCTCTGATTTCTTACCTAGGTAAGGCAATATGTCTAGGTCATAGGTGCTGATGACCACCTTGTTCTTCCTTTATAGAAAGCTTCTTGCTTTCTGGAAAAAAATCCTAGATTGATCTCTCATAACTCCCTGCCTTTGTCTTTATGAGCTTTTACTACAAGGTACCTTATTTCTTTTGTTACAGTATGGCAGGATGAATTTTTCCTAGAAATTACATAAACTTAGCTATGGTGTTCTAAAGATGACTGATCAGTGATCCAACCTGTAGTTCCCTACGGACTGTACCCCAGCAAAATCTCTCTGACCTGCAGTAGACAGCATCGAACCAGGGAGAATTCAAGTGCAAATTTCAAAAGTTCTATTGCTCACTGTGGGGATTCTGGTTTCATTTATTGCATATCTATTCACATCTTGAATGATAGTCCACATTTATCTTTATATGAATTAATCCAGATTTTAAAGCCATTAATATCTGCAAAATCATTGAGAGAACAGCAGGCAAAAAAAAGGTAAAGCAATAGTGGTAGGGATTCATTACAAAATGCATCGGGAGTTCTCGTCACTGAAATACCAATTACCATGAAGAAAAGACTCTAAATGATGGGGGACTGTCAAATAGGTTGTCCCAATTTGAATTGATAGGAAACAGCATTTATAATCGTACCTGCCATCCTAAGTCTCGGAAACTCACGTAAAGTTCGTGTTTCTTACATGCTTGCTTTTGCTCGCTTGTGTTATAATCTACAGGAAGAAAATAATAATAAATTGTTTAGAAGCACTTCTAGACACAACAAGATTTAGCTATTTTTGACCAAATTGTAAAAAGGAAAGGAACAAACATGCTGTCATTTATATTCCTAGGGTTGGTCATAAAGGCTGTGTAAGCTTGGAAATGCAGAACCAGCAGTGTCAGCCTGACACAGTTTGTGTACACGGGGGAATCAATGCACTCAGCATTAGGGGAAACAGGTTTACAAGATGTCTGTATGCTGGCCAGCCAGGTAACAACTCTGATAACATGGACACAGGTAATCAAAGGAGGACATCCAAGATATGGGGAATTCATCTGTATGTTGGCACAGGTTTAATTGCCAGGTAAAGAAAGTAGCCCAATTCCAAAGATAAATTAACAGTGACAAAAATTGTCCTGAAACAACAGAATTTCCAGAAGTCTGTTATTTAAATATTAGCACATTCTGCACTCCTTCATTTTTCGCCATATTTTCTGGAAATATTCGCCGCTTGATGATCTTTAGTTGGTAATACTAATGTAAACAAGTAGACTAACAGATGCTTTTTAATGTTTCTGCACTGTTACAGATGTGTCAGTATAAAAGGACACAGAGAACCCTCCATACATGCTTCTCCAGGACAATCTTAATCCTGGAGAAAACCTGGTACTTGTTCCTTACTTCCCCTGAGTTACAGGACAGGAAGGGAAGAGGGTGATGCCTTGGTCACATTAGCACCCCAGAGCTGGTTTATAGTGCTATTCAAGTGATGCCATCAGTGAGGCATGCGATGGAGCAAGGAGGACAGGCTGTCTCCTCTGGTTCCATTTCAAGAATGCTTAAAGTGGCTTTTTTGGACCAAAATAACCATTCTAGAAGAGGAAAAAAAAAAAAAAGAGTTGGCTGAATTTCAAAGCAGCAAAATAATCTGTAAACAAACAAGGAAGACACTGAAAATGAAACAAAATCTTATTTTCAGGAACAATTTTTTTTTTTTAACTTATTTCAATAATATAAGACTTGAGACTGGGATGGGAGGGTCTTTGTTGAAAAAATTCTGGAAAATGGAGAGGCCTTTTTCACATAAAATGAAAGGGAATGAGTTCTACAGTCTGTGAGAGAACCTGCTGTAGTGATTCAGTATCCTTGCAGAAAACTCTTCCAAAGACCTGGCCTAAAGGAGCTTTTTTGCAAATTTACCAACTGCTTCTTGTCAGCTGTCCTGATCTGTGCTATCATTGTTTCTCTGTGTTCTCTTCAGTTTCTCTGTGTCTTTCTGAAGATGTGATGGCCAAAACTGAACACAGTGCTGAATAAAGTAAAACAATTATTTCCTACAGGTTCTGGATTGTTTTTCTAGCAGTATATTCCAGAACAGAAGTTTTGCAGCAAAACCACACTGTCGAATTAACTGTTTGAGATCCCTTTTTTATATACTCCTGCCTAGTCACTTTAGGATTATGTTCCATTTATGCAAATCAATGCATAAAGAACAGGTTGGGGGTGAGGATGTTGATGGGAACTGGAGTATGATGGGACTTGCAGCAGCTGTGAAACAGTGGAGTTAAAAGGTTCTGAGAGATGACCAAGATCAACAGCAGCATTGCAACCCTGGATTTCAGGAGAACAGATTTCAACTTGTTCAGAGATCTTCTTCAGAGGATCTCATGGCCTATTGTCCTGGACAGCAAAGGCAAACAAGAGAGCTGGCTGATCTCCCAGGACAACCTCTGAGAGAAGGACAAGGTAAGTCCACTCACATGTGCAGGTCAAGTAAACATGGCACAAAGTTATCCTGGCTGAATAGAAAACTCTTGACTGAGCTCAAATTCAAATAGGAGTAAAAATAACGTGGAATTGGGATGAGCTACACAGAAATAATATAAACACATTGCCTGAACATGCAGGGTTGGATGTTAGAAAACCAAAGCTTAGCTGGAGTTGAAACTTGTGAGAGATGTGGAGGTCAACAAGAAAGACTTCTATAGGTACATTCATGGCAAAAAGGAAAACTATGAAAAATCCATAGGGCAGAGGACCTAGTGACAAGGACTCAGAAAAGGTTAAGGTACCCAGTGACTTTTTTGTCTTGTTTTTTATTGGCAAGATTTACTCTCAGGACTCCCAGGCCCCTGAGCCTAGTGACTGAAGCTCTACCCACAGCAAAAGAAATAGAGTTAGGAACCACTAAAGCAAACTGAAGATACACAAGGCCATGTGAAAAGAAGGGATGAACTTCAGGGTGGGGAATGATCTGACCAACATCATTGCAAAGTCACTCCCTGACATTTTTTGAGTGTTCACAGTGACTGGAGGCTATTTTTGATGATTCAAAAATGCAAAATGTCACACCCGTCTTCAAGAAGGGCAATCAGCTTAACCTCAGTTTCTGGGAAGTCAGTGGCATAAATTGTCCTGGAAGAACAAGAATGTGTTTGGGAACAATTAGCATGACTTGACTAGACCAAACTATGCCTAACCAACCTGACAGACTTCTGTGGTGAGCTGACAAGCTTTGTGGGCTTTTGAAGAGCACTGGGTATTGTTCACTTTGCTTTTGGGAAGATTTTTGATAGTCTCCCATAGTATTCTTAGGGCCAGATTGGTCAGATACAGTTTGGATAGGTAAAGAATATAATGGGTGGAAACTTGGCTGGGCTGCTGGACTTAAGGGGTTGTGATCAGTGGTACAAAGTCCAGCTGGCAGCTGGTTACTAGGGATGTCCCTAAAGGATCAGTACTGGTGCCAATACTGATTAATGTCTTTGTTAGGACCTGGACAATAGAACAGAGTGTGCTCTCTGAAAGTTCACAGAGGATACCAGGTCTAGGAGGAGTGATCAGTCATCCAAATTACCAATAAAATATTGGACTAAATCAGATCCAGAAGAGGCTTGATGAGTTGTCATTCAAAATACCCACCCAAATTTTACTTTTATTGGTAACATGCTCCTTGAATATGCTTTTTCTTTTAACAGGCTATGTACCTACTTTCTGTTGGATATACCTGGGCCCCAATATGTCTCCTGAAACTGTGTCAAAAGCTGTGCATGACTCAAGATATATCCATTTGCAGTACTAAATAACTAGTTCTAATACCACCAGGGATGTTAAGTCAGGCTTTCTAAGCTATAATACCCCAAATCCTCATTCCTTTTTAATTCCTTTTTAAAGATTACTACTACCTTCTTAACTACAGTATTTTGCTAACCTTTCATGGGCTGATTCTCAATGACAGTCATTAAAGGTTTTCCACAGGTAGTTAGTTACCTGCTGCCATCTCAGATACTCTCAGTCGCCCCAGGGCATGTAGGGTAAAAATACATACCCACATCCTATGACAGTGCTGTGTTTTTCTGGAGTGGCCACTGGAAGCAAGGAACGATACCCTAGGACATGATGAGTTTTAAAAAATCTGTCTACCTTTAATATAAACAAGAACTCTTAGTCACCCTTTGTGCTGAGTTGTCTGTAATGATCTAGTATGTTCTGCACACATATCTTTAATATAAACAAGAACTCTGTCTGTAATGATCTAGTATGTTCTGCACACACATTAGAAGTAAGGTGAAAGTAGTAGAGAGTAAAGGAACTTTATCTTAAAAAAGTTGGACTGTGTATCACCAATCACTCTTTACAAGGATCCGTATACTGATTTTGATTAATATCAGTGCTCGTAGGAGGTAAATATTGAGCTTTTCTGTTTCAGCTACTAGTGGGAATTTAAAATTCAGTCATACAGAATTCAAATCACTTTGCAAAAAAACTGTGACTGAAAAGTGTGGGAAAGAAATGCAGATGAGACAGTCAGGACAGTCACAATCTGGTTTGAGATCACAGCCAAGCAGGCAAACAAACGAAAGCTGAAGATTGCTTTTGCCAGTTTTCCCTCAGTCATGACATTTTCATATTTAAAAATATTTTAACACCAGAATGTAGAAGAAGTCCCTACAGTTAAAGGAGAAAGGCTGAAAAATAAATATGTAAGTCATCACATAGGTGTCTTCATTGTCTCAATACTCTGAATTATTTGAATATAGGTGGTGAGTGGTCACACCAGGACACCTGATAAGATCGTCTGTGTTTCATATCGGACGTCTATCTGCAAACCATTTAACGCACACACCTACAAAGAAAGTGAGACTGGAGCAAGTCTGTATTCTTTCCTTGAATTCTATCTTTCATATAAGACACATGTTGTGTATAATGTAATATTTCATATAAGTATCAAATGTGACATTTATAATAAGATCTGGTGCCAAGGATCCAGTTTCACATACTGTAGCTTCAAGGCCCTTATGCTTTTTCTGTAGGTTATTGTGACTAAGAAAACATTGTTCCTCAGCTATTTGGAGACTGCAGCTGGGGTCCAAACCCCTACATAACAGAAAGAGCTGTGGAAAGAGGGCAAGAAAATATATTTATAAGAAACTTAACGAGGACTTTTTTTCAAGGGAAATAAAGACATATAGACATGCCTATGTGTACTGTCACAAAGTACTGTGTTTTTAATTAATTAGTGTGACACCAACCAACAAAATACAGGAAATACAGAGTTAAGTATTGCTTTTTGTTTTGATCTAACTGCATTGTGAGTGAAAATTATGTAGTTTTGGTTTTGAGTTTCCTGGTGTAAGTCACTATTCACTATTTAAATGTGGATATCCTCTTGTGCCCAATTACACTGCAATTCTTTTTAAATGATGTTAAAACAATTGTTGTAAGGAAGAGTTATGTGATGCAATGTGGGAACAAGTTGTCTTGTTTAGATTTGTTTTCCTTTTATCTACAGTTTGACAAAAATACAACTGGTTAAGTAATAAACAGTTTCATCCTCTGTGCAGAGCAGGCAGGTGGAGTCTGAATGCTAAGTTTAATTATGTCTGTCTTTGCACTGCACTGATGTCATCTTCTCTTGAAGTTCTTAGTAACACAAGGATGCTGACCCCAAATCTGTCAACATTTGCCCAGCTGTTATAATAACTGACACATATAGTTTTATTTTCTTCATGTTGTGTTCGTGCATATCTTCATGAATAATTCAAAAAATTTATTGTCCGTTGGAAGGGAAGAACTGAGTTGCCCAGTGGGACTTTCCTTTTTGACGTGCTGAGAATAGGGTAAAGCTAATCACAGAGGTTCAAGAACTTAGAAAAGAAGACAGCAAAAGAAAAAAAGCAAAAAGCAAAAGACAAAAGGCAAGAGTCAAAAGAAAGATGACAAAAGGTAAAGGCAAAGGGAAGGAGAAAGAGAAAAAAAGATAAGAAAAAGGAAAAAAGGGGGGAAAAGAAACAGAAAAGGAAGAATCAAAAAGCAATGAGAAAGAGAAGGCATGACTATAGGCTTGATGGGCAGAGAGAATTATAACTGAAGCCTACCTATCTGGGTCTGGCTACATAACTTCTGGCCATGTAGATGAGCACTTTTCACTGTCAATGTCTGATTTAGATGCTGCAGATATATTATGGAGTAAGCTTAGAAGCAAGGTCCTACATCACACAATTACGTTTGCCTATCACTGTGTCACTTACATCAACAGTGTTTTGAATCAAGGGGTGAAAGAGACTGGAATATGGTTTATTGACAGGCTGTTGTGAGGAAGATGATGAGCCGAATTCTTTGGGTGTTTCTTTGGTTTAAATACAAAGAGATCAATTATACTTTTAAAGCACAGCTCACTGTTGGAAGCTGTAGGGAACCAGGAGAATCAGCCTTCTCCCGTAAGCCTGTGGGGTTACAGCACATCCACTCCCCAATTCCTGGGACTGGTGAAGAGGAGGAGAAGGGCATAGTTTTTCCCTGATAACAGGCTCTTCCCATGGAAGAACTCTGCCTGTACTCTGAGAAGATGTGAAGATCTGGGGATAGGAATGTGTTCTCCCCTTCATGTCTTTTTTGCACAGCCTGCAGACTGGGTGCCTAAGGAGTTTAGGAGATAATTTGTTTCATAATGTTCATTTCACTAGAGAAGCTCTGATTTTTCTTGGTTTATGACAGCCCTGGAAGAAGACTGGATGCAAAGATGAGGTTGACCAGTGTTTTGAGACCCGTAGACAGCTCTTCCTGAGGTAATCCTCATGCCACTGCAACTCGCTGGCCTGTGTTGAATTTTTCCCAGGTTAAACCACCAGGGAGCATGTGTTCAGCTTTCAGCTATAATCAATTTAAATCAGTTCAATTCTCATTTCCTTATGGACTAGAAAGATGGGATTCAATCTGAAAGTATTATATTTAGGTATCTTGTGTGTAACGTGTACTCTGATGATCTTCCCTTCCCCCAAAATAATGTAATTCTCAAAATTAGTAGACATTTTCCAGGAAATATGAAAAAACTTTTTTTCATATTTTTTTGTGCAGAGAGAATGTTATTTACCCTTGACATAAGAGATTCTATTTGGGAACTAATGCAATTGCACAGATCATGTTTGACTGTATTTAAAAACAAACAAACAAACAGAAAACCCCATCCTTGTGTTGTGTTATTATGTCCAACGCCCTTTTATAAAAATTTGAAAATGCATTGTGTGATAGCAGTAAAATAGAAGGCACGGTTACTGCAGAAAAAATTCATTCACTACTGAAGTGAATGAATTTAGAGTGAGCATCATCTAGCAAGCTTAACTGATGTGCATGCTTAAATCACGTATCAATTACAAGATGCTCAGTCTATTTTTAACCTGCATTGTTTCAAAAAATCTCAAGTTTAAACAGTTAATGAAGAGAGGATGTTTAGTCAATCTCATTTTATAAATAAGGAATAATTTTAAAAATGTCTTTCTCCTATAGAGCATGTAATTTCTTTTATTTTTTAAACTAGTAAAAAGCTAAAAGTGCCTTGTTTGGGACTTCATCCATTATTTATTTATAAATGCTCCCCTGCAATATTGACTAATAAGGGGTTAGAAGTTAGTTGCACACATGAGTCATTTGTGCTATAACTATCCAGAATATCAGAAAATTTGACAATACTCAAAAAAACCCTAAACAAAAACCTGTTGTAAATAGAAATCCTTTGTGCCTTAACAAATGTCAGGGGCTTTTAAAAAGCCTGGGTCCTCAGAGGGAACATGTGCATCTCTCTAAGCCACCTACCTCAGAAATAACTACAGTCCAGGTCCTCGGCAGAAACTAGAGAAGTAGGACAGTATTTTTTCTACCTATACATCATATGCAAACAAAATTGAGCTCAGTAATGAAGTGGTAATAATCATTACTGTGAATTAAAAACTGTTTTTTTCAGGGTATATTTTGAGACTAACCTTTAACTTTAAAGTAGGATTTTAGTCCAGTAGATCACCGAGTAAACTTCAAGTTTATAAACTTAGAAGTTTTGCTCACGTAACCAAAGTGGTTTAAGCAAAGCTGGGGAGGGGTGAGGTAGACATGGAGCGGGAACACACTTTCTGACAGTTCAGCCAGTGAGCAACATCTCGTTAAGCTGCTGTGACTCCGAGCAGGTGCCCATAACTCCCTTAAACACACTAGAAAAATCATAGTTTCATCTTACCCGCAACACTTGGCATCCTAGAAGACTCCTGATGACTACTGGATTTGTTGCGGTTCTGATTTTTCCTTTTATTGTTGGCTGCTCGGACAGAACGGAAAAGCACTTCACTTGCCTTGAAGAACGCAACCATGAATGGTTGCTTTGACTGAGGCCCATGCCTTCCAATCAGGCCAGCAGATTTAACATTGATACTTCGACCTACAAAGTAACAGAAATCATAAGTTAAAAGGTGAGCTCCTGCCCCTCCTGAAGCCACTGTGGGAGCTCAGCTGCTGACTGGTAAGGATTCTGCCCGTAATCCTGAATTTACGTGATTAAGAATCCTAACTGCATTTTGTTGAGCAGAACACAAAACACAAAAAAAATTCAACAATGTACAAAAGTTTCAATGACTTTACAGTTAGTATCACAGAATCACAAAAACACAGAATCTTCATGGTTGGAAGGGACCTTTGAGATCATTGAGTCCAACCACAAAAAAACCAAATAAACAAAAAAACCCCAAAAAACCGCACCAAAAACCCCCACAAACAGACACAAACCAACAATCTCAGGCTCTAGAGCATGCCCTGAAGTGCCATGTTTCTTAAATACCTCCAGGGATGCCAACTGCACAAGATTGCAGTTTCTCTGTGTTATATACCTTATCCATTATACAGGTATTTCCATTTAGTTTCATATGCACATCTATAGAGCTGAAAAATGCATGAGCCCCATTGATGTCTTAAGGCTATCGAAAGGATAATGTCATGCGGTCATCTAATTTTTGCATCACTGGAGCGTGAGATGTGGAACCTTATACCCCCAAAGCAAATCAGTAGCAAAGAGAAGTGTAGATAATAAATATGCTTCCGCTTGTGAGATGTGGAACCTAATCCCCAAAGCAAATCAGTAGCAAGGAGAAGTGTAGATAATAAATATGCTTCCGCTTTGAAAATAAATATTGTGCGGTGCTACTCAAACTGATGTTCATTCACTAGTAAAGGTAGGGAGGCATTCGGTTCTTCAAGAGAGCAGAGTCTGAAATATGTACATTATTGACTCCGGTTCCGTTCCCCGGGGATGTGCATATTTCTTTAAAATATTTGTTCAGTCAGGACTATGCGGTAACCTCGCTATATTGTAAGCTCTAAACCTCAGTAAAAGAAAAGAAAGCAAAACAAGTCACTGAAACTGCATCAAGTGACATTTCAGCAAATAAACCCTTGCTCCTAACAGAATTTACTTTGGCAGCACAAACACTTTTGTGCGTACGTGTATTATGCAGAGCCCTTCACCTGTCAGAAAATGAGACAGTGTCATGTGAAGCTGTGCAGCTGTGCTGGGTGGGGGACACAGAGGTCCTTTAAAAGGGAAGGTGTGGGCACGAGGCACCGCCTCGGGGGGCACCTGGGGATTCTCCTCAACCCACTGGAAAAGTTGGCTCCTCGGCGGGCGGCGAAGGAGCATCTGCCCCACCAACGTATTAATGCCGTTAACTCCATCACCCTGAAAAAGGACTTGCAAATAAGCATAGGAGTAAACCTTATAGAAATAAGCATATAGGTTTCCTTTTCAAACACAAACTTACAGTGGCTGGACGCCAGAGTCTATATTTCTTAGAAAAACTCTATCACTGGCGTAAATGAAAGAGGCAGTTTGATTTGTGGTTAAAGTAGTTTCCATTCTACTTCCACTGTAACAAATGTATTAATTCAGCTCAGACTTCCTCCTTCTGGCAGCCCTTTTGCAGTAAAAAGAGAAATTAGAAGTTCCAGCCAAATACCATACCTTGAACTGACCCACTTCAATACATAAACACTTTTACAACATGTTTATTCAGGTGTAGCACTTTAAATTGGTTTAAGATGTTTCCAGTGACAGAGAGCCCCGCAAAGGCAGGAGAAGAACTGAGAAAGTTAGCAGTTATGGAGCAGAGTAATTGGCAACATATTCTGAACAATTTTGATAATTACTTTTTTGACTGCAAGGGAAAACTATATTTGTTGAAGCTTCTGATTTCATTTTAAATGGCTTTTTAGTCCTGTGCTTCTTTAATTCTTCTTTTCATGTGTTTGAGTTACTATTAAATAATTCAGTAACATTAATTTCTATATGTTCCAATCTTCTCTTGCAAGTCAGATATGAAAAACTGTACAGACTATTCTCTATTCATTGCAACATGGACAAACTAGCCTCTTACCACAAAGTTCCAAGTTTCCCCTCATTTCTAGAGGGAATATTTTTACTATTTTTTCTTTATTTTTTGTTCCAATGACTTTCAGAATTTTAATTTTATCTGTAAAAGATTAATACCTTACTGGTGGACATTTTAAGAATACTATTAGATTTATATACTGAGGGCTGTAAAGATGTGTGGAGGTTTTCTGAATTTAAATCTAGGTTCTCTGAATTTACAATGGTGGATATTGTGTGCGAAGCAAAATATCCTTCAAACCAACGTGAACTCCCTTTAAAATAACTTTTAATATTATTAAGTTTCCTCTGGGTTTCCTTTAGACTTCAGCAATGAGATGGCTATTAAGATTCCACAAGTTAAGGCTTACTTGGTTATTCAGGGTATAGAGATATGCTATAAAAAATTAATCCTGTAACCCACAGCCTTTTTACACACAGAAACAGCTTATGTGACTTTATTCCTTTATTTGCTTGATCTTTTAAGCAGCCAACCTAAGTTTTTAAGACCCATTTGTTCAACTCATGCACGAGATGTGCACTGAATCTGCTTCTCATGCAGTCAACAGGAAAACTTTTCATTGACTTCTGTGGGTTCATCATTAAACTTTTCTCTCTCGGTTTATCATATACCTTGGGTCAACTGCAACTTTCAGAAGATGAAGGAAACAAAATATACACTGCCCTTGAGACACTATATTTCTTCTGAGGAGGATCTCTGGACCGTTTGGTCTGGAAATTCAAACCACATATGTTGTCTCCATTTTAGGTTGCTTCTGTGCAAAAGAAAGTTTGCATTTACAGAACCTCTATTATCCTTTCCTTAAAAAAAAAAAAAAAAAGAAAAAAAAAGAAAAAAAGGAAAAAAAATTAAAAGAAAGCATGCTTGTGTGGAGATTTCCTTCAGTCTAAGAACACAAAGCTTTGACCCTTCCTGAACAGGAGGTATTTCAAAGTATCCTGCTACAGCAGTATCTCCATCTGTGTTCTGTGGCCTTGTTAGGTAGTCGCTTTTGTCTGTAGTGTGGATTTCAGAATACAGTAAGAAAAATCTTTACTCTAACTCGAATTGACCTTTGTAGCAAGAAGTTTCACTTTTAGTAAGTCTATCATTTCTTGTAAGCATTTAGAAAACCATCAGATTTGATGACAGCTGAAAATCCAGGTCTGTCCAGCCCACAGTTGTTCCATACTGTGGTATTAGAGCAGCATTTTCTAAAATCAGCTGAGTGACTCAGGCTGACCTGCTTAACTACAGCTTCCCTCGGAGCTTCACCCACATGAAACCGGTAAAAACCAAACCAGCAAGGTGTCTCTCTGCTTCTCGTGAGCATCTCCGAACAGGAATTGATCGTGGTCAAGCATTCTGAAAAATGGGTTTGTTTTTACACTTCCAGTGTATCTTTAATTCTGAGGATTTAAAAGAGTTTTCTTTAGACTTAGAGGAAAAGAAGAAAAAAAAAACTGCAAGAAAAGAGCAGTCAGCTAGTGCTTACTCCACTGAACCAAACCACTGCAATTACCCCTATGCCTAGAAAAAACAAATAAGCATAACAGATGGACTTTGTGTGGGGACAGTCCAGAGCCTTTGTATTCCTCACATTCTGGCATGCGCTTCTCAGTCCTGCTATGATAATTTATTCTCTCTTCTCCATATTGACAGGTATATTTGGAGACTAAGACTTATTTAAAGCATTATGTTCCAAATCTGCTGAACTCCTTAGTCCTTATTCATATGATTTTGAGTCTTTGGCAAGATGTATTTGTTTGACTTGGCATTTAAACATTTTTGGCTTTTATTCTATTTGATAGTAAAGTGCCCTTAGCCGTTTGCATAAAAAGTTGTATGGAAGTGCTGGTTTGACTGATTGAACTGAATGAATAGTATTTGCCTTTTCACGTTCTGTCCCTTTATAATAAAGGAATCGCTGCTGCAAAAATAACTGTGAAGTTCAGTTTATAAAAAGGTGCTACCACAACATTGAATATTTTGTTCTTTTTTTTTTTTTTTAAATATATATCAAGAGAATAGAAATAGCACTCAGGATTGTAACTGCAGAGCTATTTGCTGTGTCACTCGGTCCATTTTTCTGCTGTGACACGCAGTCGTATCATACAATTCTTTTCACGAACTGATCGACTTCCATCTTAAAAGTTCATTTTCCCCCTCAGCTGCTCCAAATGGAAATGCAAGAGCCCTTGCAAAGAGCAAGCCTTCAGTAACAATCCGTCTCACAGTCCTGACCTGGAGACATCGCCTCGTTTTTCATGACATTCAGAAAGCTGACTTCTTCTGAGATCGCCAGTGTGGATGCCAATGACAGTGGTAAGATTTGTGACTTGGCTGTCTCTCCTCAGGCAGTATATATTTTATGTAAGGCATTGAGCAGACACTAATTTTGCAAGAGCTTTCAGCCATTATGCATCTTGGCCAGATTTACACTGGCAACACAGGACAATGAGTGATTCCAAGATCCGTTATTTTGTCCTGAGTCATCGAACTGCAGCAAACCACTCATTTTGTTATGAAAAACAAGCACTTATTTACTTTCAAAAGTGTTCAACAAGCCACAAAACACATTTTACAGATTAACCACTACTGCTAGGTCACAGTAGTTATTTTGGTAATAATTTTATATATTTGTAGATAGAAATGAAAGCTTTAGTGTTGTTGTGAATTCATTTCTAGTCCACTGAAAAAAAAAATTCCAATGCCACACCTATGGGTTTCCTCCTCGTGGGGAGTGATATCTGAAATGAGGATTGGGAAAGGCCTTTTGAAGAAAGACCCTGAGTGTACAAGGCCCAATAACATCTAATATTTGAGCAAAAACTGTCCTGAGGCTCTGAGTCTGAAAGTTTGCAAAGTAGTTTCCAAAATTAGATAGACAGTTGTGTGGTTTCTCATGCCTGAATAGTGTCTCGAGAGCAATTTCAGAGAAACAAAAGAATTGAGGTAGAGTTTGGCTACCAAAGCTTAAATGAAGACGTATTAGAAAAAGAAAACCTAGCAATCCAAATGT